AACAATTATTTATGACTATGCTGCGCATTTCCATTTTCTAAAAAAATAGCTCAATGCACATTACATTATAAAGATATCATATTTTAGAAATGAATGGGCATGTGGGTACGTAAAACATAGTACATGTATTATGTATACGTACATGTATATTATTATTTGACCAGACAAGGTGGAGTGAGGCACTCGTCAATTTGTTGTTATATATGTAGTTATTGGTAGATTTCTATAACTTTATAGCTTGTTCATTCGCCTTTCTTTTGATGGAAAAAAAACGTTTCTTTCTTGAATAGAAGACAGTTAAGATTAAAGGAGGTGGATGTCGCCTACTTGCAAAAGTAAAGGTAGCGAGGAAATGGTCGCCAAAGTTTGGTGACTTCCAAAGTACGAAGGTCTGGAAGACTGAAAATTTACATGTTTTATGCCTTTGACCAAAGTTTTTCAGGGTTTTTTTTAATGGCCATGAAAGGTGTTGAATAGCTACAGACAAAATAAAACATTCGATAGAACATTCGTTCTCCATAGATAAAACAACATTTCTGTTCTCTCTCTCTCTCTCTCTCTCTCTCCCCTCTCTCCCCCCCCCTCTCTCTCTCTCTCTCTCTCTCTCTCTCTCTCTCTCTCTCTCTCTCTCTCCCCTTTTTGTTCCACCTCTGGGATTCTGACTCTTTTTGCTGCCTTTCTTCTGCTTACGGGAGGCAAGATCCAACGGCTGGCCTTCTCGGACAAAGGCTATTTAAAAAAAATTCGGAGGTCCCGTGTGCAAGTTGCGCACGTTAAAGATTCCTTGGTGGTTCTAAAATCGATGAGAGCAGGCTTCGGCCGCCACCTCGGCAAAATTAAAAATGAATTTCCACCAAACTGAAAATGCTTAAAGTGTCCTACACGTTCATATTATGACCTTATGCAGTTGTGAGCGTCGTAAAACACCTATCAAAAATATGTGTCACGACGCGGTGGAATCAGGCTCTCGTCAACTTTTGTGCATGTGCAGTTATTGATATTATCATCTTCAAGCTGCTTGTTCATCTGTCTTACTTTTGATTAGAAAATACCAATCTTTCGCGTATAGAAGTCGAGATATTTGCAATTGAAGGAGGTAGGGGTCGCCTGCTTTCGACAGAGGTAAAATTAACAGGAAAATGGCCGCCAAAGTTTGATTACTTACGTCGATTAAGAGTCTTTTGTCAACTGAAAATTTACTTTTTTTAATGCCTTCCATAAATGCGTATTTTGAGGAAAATAAAAAAAAAATTGAGCCAAAAAAACATATTTCGATGAAAATTGCCAAACCGGAGGAAAAATGCCGTTTTCTTCAATTTCATTATTTTGACGAGCGCCTGATTTCACCACGATACGTCACATATATAATTAAAAACAAAACAAAACACAAGAACCCCCCCTCCCAAAAAAACAACAATTTATTATGATGATCATCTCCAGCAATGTCACACAAATAAACGAGCATCAAACATGGCGAGGACGGAGTTGGGAACTCTTTTACGCGGGAAGCTCATGAATGGTATGGCCCCACCCTCTCATGGTAAACAACAACAAAACGACGGATATTGCACAACGTATCGTCAATACTGATCTTGCCCCGAAAACTCGCCTGATCTTCGTGAAAGATTTGTTTCTAGCTCAGCATATTATTTTGATAGCAGCGATAGACCTTATACTCTGGCTCTACGGTTTCATCGAGCCGGCTTGCAACTTTAAAATCTTGAGAAACGGCAGTTTTGTCTCGTAACCAGGCTTGTTTCTTCTGTGCATTAGTGGAGAGGCCTCATCAATTAAAACGAACCTCGCGCACTTCGTGATAAATATAACAAAAATATGAGTTACAGAAACTTCTACATTTTAGAGTAGCTCTATTTGTTGGAAAAAGCCTCAATTTATATTAGGTGAACCTGATCTTGAAAATCTAGTTATTTATAGATCTTGAGTCAAGTAGACTTTCTGTATCTGGACCTATAGAGATTCTAGATTAGATCTAGATCTAGATTTAATTGGTTTTGAACTAAACCCGTCCCCGGAAGCCTTCCCAATTCCCAACTCAAGACAAGTCCAGTTACTCCGAACAGACAGCAACGAAGAGATGGCAGAGAGCTAGGAAGTGGTCTGATTAATGTGCTGTTATTTGTTATCATTTGTGACTTCATAATCTAAACTGGCATTTTCAGAAGTCATTGAAATCTTGCCAATGTTTTCTCTCTCATCTTCTTTATCTTTGATGAGTTACGCTTGCAATGGAATTGTAAAATTAGTATCAGCTCCATACCTGACATCGGGATTCACCTAGCAGTAGCAGTATTTGATTTTGAATACAAGGATATCATATTCATGGCTCTTTAATGAGTGTAACTTGTGCATTCTTCTGAGTGAAAGAGTGTTTGGAAATTTGAACCAAGATCACAACAAATTAACTGATCCCAGCGTCTGTCAGCGAACATACCAGATTTAATCAGGGCCAATTAAGGAGGTTGTTAGGTCCTTGTGAAGGGCTTTTCTGAGAGACAGAACATGGCATCAAAGGACAATTTGGAGAAAACTTTTAAGGACGGAGAGTATGAGGACAACCTTCAGGACCAAAGAGATGAGGTATGTTTTAGCAAAGATAGTACTATAACAAGATGGGCCACTCAGCCAAAAAAGTGTCCGCAGGAAGTTTGCTCTTTGCTTCAGATGGCGCTGCAGTCTGTTTTGAAGCTCTCTTTCGCTTTTCCAGAAGAAGAATAGGAATAGCACCTCCTCGCGTGCGCAGATCGACTGCAGTTCATCAGCAGTTCGGGTTTGTTCAGTGTGGAGTTTTAGGTTTTTAAAAATTTTAATGACCTCTAGCCTTTCATTCTAAAGTCAAATTAAACGAAGAAAATAATCTCCCTTTCCTCCGGAAGAGGTTTTTTGTCAGCGTAACCATTTTAAAAAAGCGTTCTTCCGAAATTTATTAAAAATCTTGCTAGTTTCACTTTGATTTTTAAAAACTCAAGTAGAGTAACTCTGTTCGCAAAAGGTGCGCTTTTGCGAAGAGGGCACCACCGAATTTTGCGGACACTTTTTTAATTGGCTCAAAGAGAGAAGTGGCCCCTCTTGTTATGTAGACTCTTTGGTTTTAGTGATATAGACTGACTTCCTTCCTTGGTCTGTTGAGTACTTGCTTTAAAGTGCTTTTTTCTTTTGCCTGGGCATCACGAGAATCTAGTAACTGCCATAAATACATAATTTGAGACACTCGGTAATTTTCTGCTGATTTCAAATAAATCTCATCGACATTATTATTACTACTTTTACAATTTATGAATTATAGTTTTGTGTCAACGTGCGCAACATTTATCCATCTTTAGATTTCGTGTGCTCAGAGCTTTCAGTATTGGTTCTCACCTGAGCTGCGCTACAACTTATGACTAGGAGGGATAGACTGTGTGTTAAAGTGCTAAATGAAACTTTTGCTTGTGTGGATAATAATAAATAATAATTTATAATAATATTTATGTAGATCATTAATAATTCTATAGCGCCCACTCCCGTGTGAACACAGATCTTGGCGCTTAAAGTTAAAGCATGGAGAGTGTGAAAAGATCATCAGTGGGTTTTGATACTACCAACAATATTTGGAGTAAAATCACAGTTGAGCGACTGCATGTGTCTTATTCGCTGAATATTTCCTAATGCCGATCTGTTTTCGCCTGCTAACACTAACATATATTGCAACAGAAACTATTTTATAAATGACAGATTTATTATTTCTTTCACTCAGAATGATTCATTTTTTCATTGACATGCTCATTGCAGCGTCAGCATCACAAAGTAACAATATCAAGTCAATGCAAGGTACAATAATGTGCCTTGGCTGGTTGTTATTATAATGAACATTCTATTTTTGAGCTTCAAGGCAAATTAATTGTCTTCTCCGATGGAGTCCCATAAATTTAATTTCAAGCAGACTTCACTGTAATTGGGTGTGGAGACAACTTTTACCTTATACAGTTTATATGGTTAAAGATGAATAAATATAATACTATAAGTTATAACTGTAGCTCAAACTAAGTTGAATTCAATGGGTTTAAATGTTTGAAGCTGAACTTTTACTTGTTTCAGATTTTGGCCCTTCAATCAATCTTCAACACTGAGGATCACGAGAAGCTGAAAGTTTTATCTGAAGTGTCAGAAGAAAATGATGGCTTATACACTTTGCTGGTAAGCTCATATTTATTATGAAACTGTCCACTTTTTGTTTTTGAGTTTCAAGAGCTGACATATATAAAAGCAATAATTGAAACATGTAAGAAAAAGAAAAATTAGAAAAAAACCAATCCAAATGAACTTGCACCACGTCTAATACTCAGACGTTTTGAAACATTTCTTCCTGTAATAGTAGGCTATATTTTTGTAGGTTTTACTTTTAGGAATCTCAGAAATTGGGAAAGTCATCGATTGTGATACTTGGAAAATATTCAAAGTAGGCCTACCTAGTTTGAAGTACACTGGGTTGAATTTACAAGATGATAAATCTTTTACAGTGTTGTGCCAAATGAAATATTGATTACATTGTTTAAATCAATCATGTTATGTGTGTAAATTTATTGTTGCGAATAGTGTTTCCTTAAATATATTTTGATGCTTTTAAGTAAAGAAATTGATATTGCCTGAACTTAATTAATACTGCTTCTTAGAATGAGAAAGTGGCAATGGTGTCAGGAAATAAAATGAGGAGTCCACGCGTTTAACGGGCGTAGCATTGTCACAAACTGGAAATTGTGAGGGTGTCAATTATAAAAGCTTGTGGACTCATAACTTCATATTTGTTTGACTGGTGGTTTATTTTATATGTTTGTTGAATGAGAAATCTAACAGCAACAATCAACCAACAGTTGAACTGTAATACAGTTGTGAGTCAACAAGCGTTCAAAATTGATGTCTCTCGATTTTCAATTTGTGACTATACCCGTTTTTCCCGGGGACTCCTCAAATGGTTCCAGAGTTATTGTTTTCCACATTTCTCATAAATAACTAACTGAAGTCACGTTAGTTGTATCCTGTTGATAAAGAGAATTTTTTATCAATGTTAAGTTATTCAGGCTGTGAAATGAGGAAAATTTGTGCCTGTTGATATAATTTCAGGGATATATCGGATTTCGATTGTAGAATGTAGGACATTTGAAATATTTCAAATAAAAATATGTGTCACGACGCTTTGGAATCAGGTGCTCGTCAATTTTAGGGCATGTGGAGTTATTGGTAGCATCTGAATGCTGATTTATTTGCCTTGCTTTCAATGAAATAACTATCCATTTATCTTTAATAGTACTCAATATATTTGTGACTGAAGGAAGTGAGGTTGCCTGGTTTCAGTGGTGAAATTAGTGAGAAAATGGTCGTCAAAGGTTGGTACTCCAATAGCTAAAGAGTCTTTGAAAACTTAAAATGACATATTTTGTGTCTTTAATCAATGTTTTTCAGTAAAAATCACATAGAAAAATGTTTTTATGTGGACATAAAAGGGTTGAGCCCCCCCAAAAAAATTCGATACAAATTTCCGAACTGGCAGAAAAATGCCTGTTTCTCTGATTTCTGTATTTTGATGAGTGCCAGATTTCACCTCGATGCCTCACATATGTATTTGATGATTATACCAAATTAAAGAGAGCCTGAGCATGTGTGTTCTTTCCTGAGATGCATTAAACGTTAATTGTCTGCGCAGATCACAATTTGCCCCCGACCAAATGATGAGGAAATTCAGGTGGATGTCACAGTGGCTGTCAAGCAGGATGAGGATGGTGAGGTGATGGGGGCAGCTGCAGCAGCTCTGGCTCCGAACCCTCCCAACATTCCTGTGCAGCTCAACAGAACTGTTTCAGGTCAGTATCTATTTCAGGCCAAAAGTAACTGTATCAGGTCAGTAACTATTTCAGGTCAGACATAACTGTTTCACGCGTCTCAGACTTGCATAAAGAGGATCCATGTTTTCTTGCACAAGTGTCTAAGAGGGTAGTCACATAGTGGGCAGGCAGCAGACTGCTTTACTCCAATTCGGTTGAGATGTTGAATAAGGGGCACATGTTGTGTTCTAAGTTGGAAGATTATGGATTGATCTCCACCTCCTCAAATTATGAGTCTTGTGCTGAAAGTTTATTCATGTCATGTTCTCCTCTCCTCAGGAAGACAATGGCAAGGTTCTGTTGTGGTCAAGTACCTGACCCCTCTGTACCTGTACGTGACATTTCCTCCGACGTATCCGTCTTTGGATTGTCCAGACTTTCACCTGGCTTGTGATTGGCTGAGCAGTGAACAGATCCGGTCATTGGGTCAGATGCTGGAATCATTGTGGGTGGAGAGTGGAGGAATGCCTGTTGTATTTACCTGGATTGATGGACTGGAGAACGACACACTGAAGTATGCCCATTGTTCTTTGTTGACTCTCACGTTTGTTGCAGATTTATGTATATTGAGAGACTAATAACTTGCCTTTTCAATTTTATTGTGAATTTTTATTGCGTTGTATATTTTTAGTGAACGCATCTCCAACCTCACTGTGAGATTGTTTTTGTCATATAACATTTTTTCTCATATACATAGATATTATATGCATAATACTGTGTTTTACGTACACACATGTCGATTAATTTTTAAGGTGTGATGTCTTTTTCGATGTAATGCGCATTGAGCATTTTTTAGAAAATGGAACTGCGCAGTATAAATGCTATTTATTATTATTATTATTTTTAAAATTTTTTTAAAATTTAAAGTTTATTATGTTCACCTTTGGGAAAGAGTTCCTAATGTTTAGTTTTGTTTCATATAAAGAGATAAATATTTGTAGAAAGTTAAGCATTCTGTCATGCTCCACATTTTTATTCTGGGAAGAGTTCTTGGTTTACTTGTAAGACTTTTGTAAAGTGGACTATTTGTCTGTGTGTCTGTACTCATTACTGTCCATTTGAAGGTTTCTATATGTGAGGCAGCGTGGTGGAATCAGGCTCTCGTCAAAATAATCAAAATGAAGAAACTTGCATTTTTCCGCAGGTTTGTGAATTTTTATCGAATTTTTGTTTTTTGGCTCAACACCTTTCATGCTCATTAAAGTACTAATTTCTGTGTGAATTTTTCTGAAAAACGTTGATTAAAGGCAAAAAAAATGTAAATTTTTAGTTACCACGGACTCTTAAGCTAAGGAAATAACTAATCTTTGCGGCCATTTTCTCTCTAATTTTACCTCTGAAATCAGGTGACACCCACCTCCTTCTCTTGCAAATATCTCGACTTGTATTCAAGATAAATGGATATTTTTTTCATCTAAATAAAGACAAGTGGACAAGCTTTAAGATGATACCAATAATTCTACATGGCCAAAAATTGACGAGAGCCTGATTCCACCACGCTGCATCACATATTTAAAAGATAATGGTGTCATAATTGGGCAGAAAATGTGTACATTTGGTTTAGTTCACCAATTCTTAAGCAAGTGGGTGAATTGTGAAACAGTGCAATCTTTTGATTTGTATTGAAAAATTACCGAATAACTTCTCTTTTTAGTCATTTGGACATCACCAACCATCTAGTCCTCCATCCGGCTGTCGCGAGCGAAGGAGAGGAAAACGAGTGTGGTGACGGCCATGCGTATGATGAAGATGAACTCGGAGGGGTTGTAGCCACGCTGATCAGGTTAGTGCTTAAATGTAAAAGGGACTTCCACAGTGTCTTCCAGAGTTCATTATAATTTATTATAAATAATGACTGATTAACAGTTCTGAGTGAGTGGTTGGTCGGTGCTCTGGTGTCGTTTGCTCCTTCTATCCTATCAAACATCTATCGTCTTTATCTCCCCTCCTTCTATCCTATCAAACATCTATCGTCTTTATCTCCCCTCCTTGGCACTTATATGACCTTATTGTGTTGCATGTGTGGTAAAACTCTTACTAAAACTATACTAAGAGACATTTCTGAAGGTATTTGTTCAGTACCTTAATTTCTCAGCTCATACTGCTTAGTATGAAGAACATTTCTTGCATGCAATATACAGGAAAGATCAGCCATGCACTCATCTCTCACTGTGCCGCCATTCTTTGTTTATTCTGGAGAAAGCTAGTACATGAGTCACTGTGTTGGAAAAAATGAGACTATGCCAGCATTCTGTTATTGATTTAAGATCTGTTGGTTCCATTTTTCTCCATTATTCAGAAACTACTCTGTTCCCAGAAAATATTTTACCCTACAAAAAGTAGCACCTTTGTTCTCTGAAAATATTTTACCATATGAAAGACAGTAGCTTTTTGCTTAAAAAGGATGATTTTTGTAAACGTAAATTATATTTGATTTTTAGAGCATTCAAGCAGAAAAAGGTCAGTGGATCGTCAGTGTCTGTTTCAGGCACTACAAGAAGAAAAAGAAATGTGAGGTAGCTTGGTGGAATCAGGCGCTCGTCAAAATAATCAAAATGAAGAAACTGATATTTTTCCACAGGTATGTGGATTTGTATTGAAAATTCGTTTTTTGGCTCGACACTTTTCATGCCCCCTAAAGAACACATTTTTGTATGGATTATACTATATACAAAACATTGATTTACTCATTCGCTACGTATTATTTTCGGCTTGTGGACGAATTTATTTCGGGAGGGCGAATGAGATGATGACTAGTGGGCAGTTAAAAGGTCTTTGGGGCCACAAATTCAAATAAATATTAACATATTATACAACTTTGGTTCCTGTAAGAAGCGATTATGCAACACAATTTTGATTGGATGCGGATAAAATTTGAAAATAAAAACTTTATAATCTTTGGTGAAACTGAAAAAATATGCTTGCACCTGGTCAAATGATACATCAAAATAACAATAAATGAATGTAGAACTGGAAAATATTGAAAAGTTCGCAGTTATTTACATACATTCCATAATATTTGTACATTTGGATCATAACATCCGATATTGAAAAAAAAATTAAAAATTTTATAATCTTGAAAAACGATCACAAACAGAAAAAAACCACTCGTATCTTATATGGAATTATTCAGAATTGCATTTGGAATAAACCTATACATGTCTTGAGTGGCATTTTTTGTGTAATTTCATCAAAAAGTACTGATTTTGGGGAGAAAAAACTATTTTGACAATTTAGATCTGGACCTAGATCTGGCACTCAAAAATATTGATTTCTCAATTACAGTGCACTGGCAATATGAGTCCAATCGTATCAATATTATAAAAAAGAGTCCTACACTTCTTTAGTGGGCAAAATAATGATAGATTTAGTTGTGTAAAATTACTAAGACTGGTGTCCCGGCTATAATTTGGGCATCGCGATAAAACAAAGTCAAATAAACTACGAAATCGCGTTTCAACACGAAATCTAAACTTCCGATGTTCAGTGGAAATGCTTGATCCGGAAGTCAACATTATATTATGACCTTTATTTTAACACGGATATGTGGATTGGAATAGAATCTAAGCTAAAATTGAAGATCGGTTCTCGAGCCGCCGAGGGCGGCTTAGCGTACTGACGGCACTTTAACCGCGCCGCCCCCCACGGCTCGGCGTAACGAATGAGTTAAAGGCACAATAAAAGCAAATTTTCAGTTTCCACGGACTCTCAAGCTAAGGGAATATATATAATTTTTCTTTGGCAGCCATTTTCTCACTAATTTTACCTTTGAAACCAGGTAACCTCCTCCTCCTCCTTCATTTGCAAATATCTCCAATTGTATTTAAAATTAACGGATATTATTTTCATCAAAAGCTAGACAAATGAACACGAGTTAAGATTGCACAAGTAACGCTACACGCCCAAAAATTGCCGAGAGCCTGATTCCACGGGGTCGTGACACAAATAGTCTTTGAACCTAATTAGAAGACATGTTCTTTTTTTGGGGGGTATAAATGTGCTCTTTTTAAATTGCAATAAAAATGATGATAGTTCACTGCAATTTTACTTCAACCAGATATAACAGAGAGCAAATGGACATAGAGTTCTGCCAGGCCAGTCACGAGTGTCATGTATGCTACGACGAGAAACCAGGCACTCAGTTCTTCCGCATGGCAGACTGTGCCCATCATTTTTGTCACGAGTGCATGATGACTTTCTGCGAGATGCACGTCAGAGATGGCACGGTGGAGGAGCTGAGGTGAGTGCCTAACTCTTCATCTCTGGCAAGCCGCTCTCAGCGTTTCACGGTCGGAACCCCTGTGCCGGTGAGCCGCTGACAGCAGCTCGGGCGCTTTCCTTTACGATGACTTTGACATCAAATTAGGCCTACTTTTCAGCAATTTCCGAAAACAAGTCTCTTTTATCGGCAGTTCATTTATTAGATGAAGAACTATCAAAATCCTGACCCATTTACTTACGTTTTTGTCATTTTTAGATTTAGTATCAAAGAAGGGGCCCGGCATAGTCGGTTTATATCCCCCATGGTGATAAAGAGTTAAATCATTATTTATTTGTAAAGTTGTTGTTGTGTTTGTCTGTGGTGCAGTCTTTGAGGTTTAACCCTTTGTCTGAATGCTTTATGATTTATCAGTGTGGATATTTTATAGAACAACGTTGACTAAATGCATAAAAGATGTACATTTTCAGTTTCCACCGGCTCTCAAGCTAAGAAATAACTCAATTTTGACAGCCATTTTCTTGTTTATTTTACCTCTGAAACCAGGCTACCTCACCTCCTTCAATCGCCAATATCTTCACGTGTATTCAAGATAAACGGGTATTGTTTTCATTGAAAGCAAGGCAAATGGACAGGCTTTAAGATGATGCAAATAACTCCATATGCCAAAAAATTAATGGGCCCCTGATTCCCACGCGCCGTGACACTTATATCTCCAGCAAATTGCTTCCAGTGGCTCATGGTTGGAACTGCTATGTCGTTGAACCGCTGGCACGGCTCGGGCACATTCCTTTACTATGACTTTGACAACGTGTTAGTTTTCTGCAAGTACCGCAAACAGGTTTCTCTTACCCGCTGTTCTTTCATAAGATAATGAACTATCATAATAGATTTGTTTCTCTTGAGTGTGCTGTAAAATGAAATAGAGATTCACTGATTAAGAAGATATGTTTTTTATTTTATTTTTGTTGTTGACTCTTTCGAACAGATGCCCAGACACAGAGTGTGATGCCCTTGTCCCACCGTATATCGTCCAGGCAGTTCTGAGCCCAGAGGCTTACATGAGATGGGAGCAGCTCCTTTTGCAGGTATATTGCTGTTTTATTTAACTCCCTGCTTCGTTTATGGATGGCAGGAACTTTTCCTTGTATTTTGGAGGTGAAGTTAAGTCCTTTTCGACAGTGTTATGTCTATCGAGAGACCATTATTTGCTCTTCATTGTATGGTTTCATGAAATATTGGTTTGGTGTAAGGTTGTCTTGTATCGTAAAACGTTGTATTATGTTTCTATCTATATATAGATGGCCTTAAGTATTTTCTCAGCTGTTCAGGCTCTGATAGGGGCAACACTCTGCCACAGTTTGCTTAATCAGTGTCAACACCACTATTTTAAGAAACCAATCAAAACTCTTGGTTAAAGCAGGCCTAAGAGTTACATAGTTTTGTTCTTTTCTAAGACCTTTCTTTAAATTACTTTAAGCGTTATCCAAAAAGTTGTATAAGGTAGCACTGGTTCTTTGGCAGTTTTAACCCATTCTGCATTTGTGACACGATGCGGTGGAATCAGGTGCTCGTCAATTTTTGGGCACGTTCAGTTATTTGTATCATCTGAAAGCTTGTTCATTTGCTTTGCTTTCAACATAAAAAATACCCATCTATCTTGAATAGAAGTTGAGAGATTTGTGTTTGAAGCAGATGAACCGCCTGATATCAGTGCTAAAATTAGCGAGAAAATGGCTGCCAAAGTAACTTCAATAGCTTTACATTCCTTGAAAACTGATGAAAAAATACATATTTTGTGCCTTTACTCAACATTTTTTTTTCAGTAAAATTCACATGGAAGGGTGTATTATATGGACATAATATGTTTTGAGCCAAAAAACAAACATTTGATGAAAATTGTCAAAATGGAGGAAAAATGCCTGTTCATTTCAATTTCATTATTTTGACGAGTGCCTGATTTCACCATGATGCCTCACATTTCAGACTGCTAAATGAGCGATTTGTGTCTCGACACGATGGAATCAGGGGCTCGTCAGTTTTTGGGCATGTGGAGAGTATATGGTATAGTCTTAGAGCCTGTTCATTGTCTTTGCTTTTGGGGTGAAAAAATACCCATTTATCTTTAATTAACATGGAGGCATTTGCGATTAAAGAAAGTAGGGCTGGTCTGGTGTCAGTGATTTAATTAGCAAGAAAACGACCGCCAAAGTTTGCTGATTTCCAAAGCGTGAATGCCCTTGGAAACTCGGAACAATCTTACAATTTTTGACCGAACAGATAGAATATTTGGTTTCTGACCTCATGGTCCTCGTACCGGAAAACGACCAATATGTGAGGTAGAACTTTGTAATTCTAAGGTAGCAAAATGTCCCCAGATTCACTTGATTCTCATCGCACCTCCTCAGAAAACTCTGGACGCTATGTCGGACACGGTGTACTGCCCTCGTTGTGGCAGTCTGGTCATTGCTGAGGGAGAGGAGGCGCAGTTTTTGGCGCACTGCACCGTCTGCTACTTTTCCTTCTGCACTCAGTGCAACCGGGTCTGGCATCAGGTAAACTATCCATCTTCTGGCTTTTGGTACAATCTAAGTACCTACCTGCCTCCCCAGACATCGCAAATACTCTATACAGCGACAAAGCACTGCTGAATAAAACCTGTAAAATTCTTTGCTGTACCGACAGACCGAAGGGCTAGAACCCAAATGGCCGCTGGATTGGAAAAGTGAAATTTTTTTAGTAGTGCAGTTTTTACAGCGTTCGTGACTGCATAAGGTCATATGAGTGCAAAAAAAAAGTAGAGTACAATCTAAATTGTTTAAGACGATCGCCCATTGTCCAAGAGAAAAGTGATTGTCTTGGACAGGTGGACATCTTACACAGTGTCATTATAATGTAAAATAAAATCTAAAAAAATTAATTCTTTATCTCCGTGGGGGGTAAACCCACTACGCCGAGGCACCTTTTCGGTACTAAATCTAAAAATGCTGAAAACATCACTAAATTGATCATTAAATCAAAAGAAGTGAACCTATTTGGATAGTTCTTCATCTAATGAATGAAATCCTGATGAAAGAGACAGAAAAGTAATTTGATGTCAAAGTTTTCGTAAAGGAATGTGCCCGAGTCTGTGCGACTCACGGGCTCAGCAGTTCCGACCGGGAGCCGCTGGGATCAGCTTGCTGGAGATAAAGAGTCAAAGGTTAAAGTGCATGGGGCAAATGGGAAGTGGCCATCTGTACAGGTGATTGTCTCATACAGGTGGCCATTGGAGCAGGTCCGACTTTATTTCTTAAAAAAAATCCTTTTCTGTTTAATTCATCCAAAACTGACAAAAAAATGTGAGGCATGCTGACAAAATGAGTTACTTCTCAGAATCCACAAATGGAGATATTGGCCAAAAATTGACATCAGGGTTAAACTTGTATATTTTCAGTTGATGCCATATTCTTTAACTCTAACCTGTCTTTTATTATTCCCTACTTATAAACTGTAAAACCTTCACCTATCAGCGTGATGTATCTATTTCCTTAAGGCTTGAATCTGAGAAGTATCTCATTTTGTCAGCACACTTCCCAAATGCATGTTCAATTTCAATCCAGCTTAATGTGACTTGTAAAACATAAGATATGATAAGATAAGATACATCTTTATTGTCCAGATCCTGGCAGGTATGCGCTGAGGAGGGTGGGGGTGGGAGGGTGGGATGGGGGAGGGGGGGTGTCCTGGAGCAGGACAAGATAATCATGGCTCAAAAGTAGAGCACTTCATGGGGGTGAGACGGGCATTCATGTGTTTGTGAGATGATCAGTTCTGTAGGTATACTAAATAGCGTGTTGATATCTCATCATGTGTGCTGTGGCATAGTGATGTTACCATTGTGTTTATTATGAATCTATTATATGATAAAATAAAATAAGATAAGATATTTTATTATTCCAAAGGGAAATTTATTTTTGCTGTACAAGACCGTAAAGACACATGCAGATATGCATAAAAAATTTAAATTACATATTACTTTCATTAAATTTCAATATGAAAAGAGAAGTAAAGCTGACAAAATGTACACGTCACATCAGATGCATCATTCAACCACGTGCAGAAATTTAATTACAAGACCTTTGGAGTGAGTAAGTGTAAAAATTGATCCTAATTACGAAAATCTGTAAGAGCCTCGTCGCCACTGAGCAGTGCTGGAATGTATGTATGTGTCTTGACTCTATGGAATCAGGTCAGTTTTTGAGCAAATGGGGTTATTGGTAGAATTTAAAATTTGTTTATTTGCCTAGATTTTAATGAAAAAAATACTCGTCTATCTCAAATAAAAGTTGAGATATTTGCTACTGAAGGAGGTAGGGGTTGCCTGGTATCTGGGGTAAAATTAGAAGGTGTCGTTACTTCCAAAGCTTGAGAGTCCTTGGAAATTTAACTGCAAGTGTTCATTTTTTGAGCCGTTGATCAAGGTTTCTCAGTAAAATCCATCCAGGTTTGTGTTTTTAAATGGAAATAAAAAGTGTTCAGCTCAAAACAAAAACATTACATAAAAACTGCCCAACGGATGAAAAAATGGTAATTTCTTTGATTTTATTATTTTGACAGACATCCGATTTCACAGCAATGCCACACGATGACTTCGGCCGCCACCCGGGCAAAATCCAAAATTTCTTACCAACCGAAAATATGAAGTGTGTCCCGCGCGCTCATATGACCTTATAATGCAGTAGCGAGCGCTGTAAAATACTTACGAAAAAAAAAGTAATTCATTCTTTCTCTTCCCGGAAATGAAGTAGAAAAGCCTGCAAGGGTAATAAAACAGTCTCTTCATTATCCTTTTTCTTTTGTTTTCAGGGTCAGCGTTGTGAAACAGACGAGGAAGTCTTTGAAAGGGAGCAGAATCGAGACCCAAACAACATGAACGAGAAGGAGAGGAAGAGATTTGATAAAATTTTACGGAGGATGGAAAAGATGATGGCTGCTAAAAGGGTTATGAAAGAAACCACAAAGAAGTGTCCTTCTTGCAAAATTCCGGTGGAAAAAATGGGGGGGTGAGTTCTTCTTTTTTGTTCTTATGCTTTTTTTTAAATTGCAAAACCTCTTTATAATGTGCTGTCTTTGATGGAAAAAAAGTGTCTAATGTAGCTTAGAATTTTTGGGAGGACGTGGGAATAGCAAGTGATTTTGTCCAAACATTTTATTGTCTTAACTTTGGAATAACCAACAGCTCCTCAGTTGAGACACGATAATTAATTTAAAAAATTTTTTTTTTAGGTAATCAATACCAGCTCTTCATATTTCCACCCTCCATTTCTCCATGGCTCTTGACAGGAGGAAACACACCCAAAACGAATCATAATTCGACACTGTAACACACAACAGCCATGCGATGGTTTAAAATTGGGACATTTCAGTGACTCATGCACAGCACTTTTTAAGGGTCCCCGAGGAAGTGTTGAGTTTCTGCGTGCTGTCGGGATTTATGACGCCACAGTGCTAGAAGAGAGAGAGAGAGAGAGAGAGAGAGAGAGAGAGAGAGAGAGAGAGAGATTTCCCCTTCAATTTGTTGTCACTCATTATTATTATTGACGAGCTTTTAACTACATGCATATTTTTAAAAAGGTCTCAACTGCTGGTTCTTTCAGAAAACAGTTTATTGATATCTATTTTAAAGCCTTGTAAATATTGCAGGTGCAACAAGATGACCTGCAAATGCTCTTGCATTTTCTGCTGGATCTGTGGTAAAAAAATTGAGGGGTACAGCCATTTCCGCTCGAGCACGTGTGTGTTGTTTCCTGGCTTAGAGGGCCCACCTATGGGCGCTGGGATCGTGCGACGACCTCCTGACGTAAGTAGCCTACATTTGGTCGCTTTTAAGCACAAGGGAGCTATACCGCAAAAGACTGTTTTGAGAAAGTCGTAGGTAAAGTTATAGCCCCTTGTTCAGTTTCTTTAAAAGACAAGGAGAGTTTTCTCTATAACCGAACAAATATACACACCATTGAAACCAAACTTCTCCTATAGGTAGGGCATTGCCCACTTTTGGTGTAGGTTGAGATCTCTGGAAACCACTGAAATCTGGGTTAGCCCGCTTGTCCTTAAAAGCGACCATTGAGCAATTTAGTGACTACACGTGACAAACGCAATTTTTCAAGTTTTACTTAAACCAAAGATTGTACATAACAATCACTCAGCCAAAAATTGTCCACAGAAGTCAGCGCATTGGTTTAGATGGCACCGCAGTCTCTGTTTTGAAGCTCTCTTTCGTTTCTCCAGAAGAAGAATAGGCATGGCACAGTTTGTTAGTTTCACTTTTATTGTTTTTCACACAAGTGGGGTAACTCTGATGGCTAAGTCCGCACTTTTTCGAAGAGGGCGCTACCAGATTTTGAGGAGACTTTTTTTAATTGGCTCAAAGAGAGGAGTGAACTGTTTTGTTATACATGATCTTTGCTGAAAACATACGATTCAAAGGTTGAAAAATTAAGGAACAGCATTTATATGACATGTTGTCGGGAGAATAGAGATGACTTTGATTTTAAACTTTGCAACGGAAACAAACCAAAGACTAATTAACTCTTTCGCTGCATATTATTTTTGGCTTGTGGACAAATTTTTTTCGGGAAAGCGAAATGAGATGATCCCTAGTGCGCAGTTCAAAGGTCTTTGGGGCCACAAATTCAAATAAATATTAATATACAGTCGAACCTGCCCTGACGGCCACCCCTATAAGATGGCCACCTGTACAAACGGCCACTTTCCATTTCCCCCGTTGCGTTTTTTCTATATAATTTAACTGTGTAAAACGGGCAGCTGTCCAACGCGGCCGCGGCCACAATAATTTAACACACAACCCCTATAATACTAAGCAATAATACCTGTCTAAGACGGTCACCTTAGTGACTCCATTACGTTTTGTCATAAATTGTGCATTGGCCCCTGGCGTTTTGGGCGAGCCGTCATAATTCAATCACCTGTTGTTGTTGTTAGGTAGTCCCTCCAACCGATCATGTTGCGTAGGCCCCTCCCACGGTTGACCAATAGCTACCAATTTTCAGCTGCTGGTGAGGTAAGCGTGTGATCCCTCATAACCCATAAGCCCTGCCCAGAACTCATACACAAATCGTAAGTGAGATGAGTGGTTACTGTTTACCCAGTCTGTAACAAAGTAACAAAGGACGTCAACATGAACTTGTGACAGAAGCGTCCCTCGTTCTCCGAGTGGTGGCGACCCACGTGTTTGTTTTAACATGGCACTCGGTCTTCCTTGTCTGATACATTTCGTTTTATTGTCACCATTGTGCAAAATCAGCGACAAAATAAAAATTACAAACGAAATACAAACCAACAGCAACAACACCAACAAAGACAACAATGATGGGGCTACTTTCGATTGGGGCCTCAGACGGGAATGGTTTGTTTCCTTTATCTTGATCAGTCCTGCCTAAGACGGCCACCTGTCTTATACGGCCACTTTTCTACTTGACAATGGGTGGGCGTCTTACACAGGTTTGACTGTATTATGCACCGAAATTTTCAGTATGATTTGTAGAATACATCTGTAATGTTTATTTGTGCATTTTTCAACCTTGGTTCCTGTAAGAGGAGATTATGCAATGCAATTTTGCTTGGATGCGGATAAAATTTGAAAATGAAAAATTAATCATCTTCAGTGAAACTCATAAAATATGTTTGCACCTAGACAAATGATACCTCAAAATAACCTTAAATGAATATAGAACTTGAAAATATTGACAATTTGCAGCTTTTTATATACCTTCCATAAAATTTGCACATTTGGATCATGACATCCGATATTGAGAAAAACTCCACAAAAATCGTGTAATTATAATCTTGAAAAATGGACAAGATGCATTCACAAACAGAAAAAAAACTCTCGTATCGTATATATGGAATTATTCAGAATTGCATTGGGAATAAACCTACACATGTCTTGAGTGGTACTTTTTGTGTAATTTCTCATAAAATAGTGAATTTTGGGAGAGAAAAAATAATTTTACAATTTAGATTGAGCACAAGCACATTAGTTCCGGTATCCTGGAGCATTAGCTTAGCGTAGACTTGTGCATTGCACTGAAATGCATGGCCGCACTGTGTCGTAATCCCGGTTCACTATGGTGCGCACCATTTGGCTGAATTTGGAACAAAATTATAGGCAACGTAGAGAGTTGTGTCTACTCTCTGCTATAGGAACCGTGGGAGACTGGTGTCTGGCACTTCATTTGGGCACCTATGGTGAGCGTACTTTGCTACAAAGTTTTTACAGGGGGGGGGGGGGAAAGAGCAGTTGCCATAAAATTGCACGGTCTAGGAATACTATGAGTCAAAATCTATACTTTCTTTGCAGAAAGCTAGAAGGTGAATATATTGCGTGCGCAGAGTAATTTATTCACATTTTTATATTTCACGTTTGAGATATCATCAGCTTATTGGCTATTTCACGTGTGAAATATAAGGATTTATTTTACCCAAAGTGCTATGGTAAAACAACTCCAAGTATGGTTTGAAAAACAATTCCTGACACTATGTGTCACAATGTGGTGGAATCAGGTGCTCGTCAATTTTGGGGCACATGGGGTTATTGGTATCATCTTAAAGTCTGTTCATTTGCTTTCCTTTTGGTGAAAAAAGAAAAAAAATATCCATCTATGTTGAATAGAAGTCAAAATATTTGCGCTTGAAGGAGGTCAGGGTCGCCTGGTTTCAGAGATAAAATTAGCGAGAAAATGGCCGCCAAAGATTGGTAACTTCCATTACCATAGAGTCCTTGGAAACTGAAAATTTACATTTTGTTCCTTTTATCAAGTTTTTCAGTAAAATCGACATGAAATTGTTTTTTTAAATTGACATAAAAGGTGTTGAGCCGAAAAGGAAGATCAGAAAAAAATTGCCCGTCGGCTTAAAAAAATGCAGATTACTTTAATTTTATTATTTTGACGAGCACCTGATTTCACCACGCGATGCCTCACATATGGCTATTTAAAATTTTCATTGATTTATGTTCTTTTTTTCCTCAGGCGGTTATTCAGATGCAGGCCAGACTTGAACTGAATCCAGAATTGAGGAATAACCGATGCTCCTGTCCTGTGTGCAAACAGCAGAACCTGAAAGGCAACGATAAGAACAATCACATGAAGTGCTGGAACTGCAAGAGCAACTTTTGTTTCTATTGCAAGCAAAAAATCGTCGGGCAAATATCTGCTCATTTTATGGGTGGTTGTCCTCATCACTCGTAGTGGAAAGGGGAAAGGTCTCTAGATCTATTCTGTTTTATCATTATCATCATGGGTCATTTGTTTGAAAAAAGTGTTTTTTTAACTTCTTGTTTTATGAATGAAACATTTGAATAATGTTAATAATAATAAATAGCATTTGCATAGCGCATACCCCCACTCAAAAGCAAGCTCTATGCGCTTTACACTATATTATTACCCCAGCAGACCATAGAACACTCAGAAACATTCTCAGCTTCCCGGGAAGCATACATTGCAAGCAGCTGGTTAAGCGCCCAAACACTAACAAACTGACAAGGTCTTTCACTGTCTATAGCCGGGTACCCATTTTCACCTGGGTGAAGTAGGGAAAATTCGCGTAAAGTGCCTTTCCCAAGGACACAACGTCGGGCCCGCGGCTCGAACCCCCGAACCCAAAACCTCACGATTATGAGTCCGGTAGCCTAACCACTGATGAGTTAAGTTACTACATCGTGTTTTGAATGAAGATTCAGGTCTTTATTTTTAATAAAAGAAAAAGTTGTTGTTTCCATCTGTCTGCTGGGCCATTGTATCTCGTTCCGGCCACGCTGACCCTGATAGGCGGGGCAGAAGAAGCAGCCTGCTTCCTCATTGGAATGAATTGTGTTGATAAGGACCTAAAACATGTACACTTCTTTTTTTATTCATAGTAGGCTATGTGTCAGGACGTGGTGTATTCAGGCACTCGTCCATTTTTGGGAATGTAGAGTTATTGGTATCATCTGAAAGCTTTTTCATTTGCCTTGCTTTCAATGACAAAAATACCCTTCCATCTTGAATAGAATTCGAGATATTGTGATTGAAGGAGTGGAGTCACCTGGTTTAAGTGGTACAATTAACGAGAAAACGGCTGCCAAAGTTTGATAACTTCAATAGCTTTAGAGTCTTTGAAAACTTGAAAATTACATATTTTGCCTGCAATCAATGTTTTTTTAGTAGGCCTATAATTCACATGGAAATGTGTTTTCATATGGACAGAAAAGACATTGAACCAAAAAACAAAAAAATTTGATAAAAATTGGCAAACTGGTTGAAAAATTCCTTTTACTTTGATTTCAGTATTTTGACAAGCACCTGCTTTCACCATGATGCCTCACATTTGATTTATGATTTAGGTGCTCAGATAAATAATTTTCAGGGTAACACATCAAGCCACCTCAGGATGTAGAAAAGAGATTGGAGATACTTGGTGCTTGGTGTTCTCTCTCTCTCTTCTGGCGCTGTGGCTTCATAAACGGTCAGCGATGCCGACAGCACGCAGGAACTCAACACTCGCCCGGTCCTTAAAAAGTGCTGAAAGTGGGTTACTGAAATGTCCCATCAGACGGGTTCTAGCACGATAGCTGGCGGGACATCTCAGGAACACATGGTCCATAGTTTCGTCCTCCTCCTTGCAGGCTCGACAGGGTGGATCTGGGTTGTCTGCTGGCGCAATTTTGTGGAGATATGATCCGTGCTTGGTGTTCTTGTGTATCATGTGTTTTGAAATCTGACTGTTGCAGTAAGCTGTGTGATCTCTCTACTCCATTCTGATGTTTTCGTTTTAGTGGGAGTTTTGCGTCCCTTGCAACATAATTAGGTCAAATAAATGTTGAAGATTAGCGTTGTTTCGAGAGATGTACAAAGATAAGAAAGAGGAGAGATAGTGACAATTGGTCACTTTTAAGCACAAGGGGGGCTATCCCGAAAAATGCTGTTTTGAGAAAATCGAAGGTAAAGTTTGTGCCCCTTGTTCAGTTTCTTTAAAAGACTAGGAGAGTTTTCTCTATAACCAAACAAATATACACACAAATGAAATCGAACTTCTCCTATAGGTAGGTCAATGCCCACTTTTGGTGTGGATCAAGATTTCTGGAAACTCCAGAAATCTGGGTTAGCCCGCTTGTCCTTAAAAGCGAGCAGTTAATGTTTGACAGGAAAGAAGGAGCAAACCACACAAGAGCGTGGGTGTCAACCATCCAACTTTTTAATGTCACTTGAACAGGAGAAACCACTGTCTACTTTCATTGTTGTTCAGGTGCTTGTTATTTCATAATGTGTTGCCTTTTCTGTGGCAGAAACAAATACTGCTAGAATGAGAACTCCCAATGAAGATTTTCAAGAGATGTCTTTTACACTTCCATCAGCAGGAATGAAATTTTGTGAGATTTATTCTCAAATTGAATGTGCATTACTTTTCATCATGACACACTCTGCTACTTCTGAACCATTCTCTCTATTGAGGGTTTCGGTGTACTCTGAAATGATTAGAGATGTTGGTGTACAAATTATCATTTTAAAAATCTCCAATAGAGTAGAATTAATAATACAACAATACAATACATTTGTAAGACAGTGTCGTCAAAATAATGAAACCAAAGAAACTGGCTTTTTTTCTGGCAGTTGGGCAATTTTTAAAAAATGTTCTTTTTCTTGCTCAACACCCTTTTTGTCACACGAAAAACACACTTCTGTGTGGATTTTACTGAGAAATGTTGATTAAAGGCACAATAATGGTAAATTTTCAGTTTCTGGGGACTTTCAAGCTATGGAAGTCACCAGACCTTGGCGGCCATTTCTTTTTTTTTTAGCTAATTTCACCTCTGGAACCAGGCAACCCCCACCACTTTCAATCTTAAATATCTCTATGTCTCTTTCAACATGTTAAAAGATTGACGAGCGCTGATTCCACCACGTCGTGACACATTTCATCATGACCGACTACTTCTGAATCATTTTATCCATCGCATGGTGGGTTCCGGTGTACCCAGAAATAGAAATTAATAGGGATGTTGGTGTGCAAATGGTCTTTTTTCTGATCTCCAATACAGCAGCATCAGTGTTGTATAGTGCAGCTGTGTCTATGTGATATCACTGAGAGAATGTTTGGTGAGTGTTATTGTGTGAATTTCTGTGATACTTTGTGAATGAGGTGCTTGAAGAATGTTTTCTACATTGATGCTCAACTGTGAAACTTTGAGAAATAACCTTATTATGCATGTTATTTTATTAGTGAAGTTTGCATTTTATATGTGAAGTCAAACTTGTTCTAATAACTTATACCTGTTCAAGACAATCACCTGTAGAAAATACCACTTCCCACTCCCCCCCTTGTTTTCTTTTCTTTATTATGAGGGTACTGTCCAATAGCCCCACCTTTCTAAGATGACCACTCTTTACCTTGACAGTGGCTGGTTGTCTTGGACAAGTTTGAATGTATAATGATAAGGCACAAATATGTCATTATGAAGGTGAAGATCATTCATTTTTTTTGCTCCCGTCACCCTCTGTCTTAAAGAAATGATTTAAATTTATGTCGCTATGAAGGTGAAGATCATTTTAGACTCTTTCTCTCCCCCCTCCCCCGCTCCCCCCCCCAACATTTTCCTAGACCTGACTTATAATAAGTTGAAACTGGATGTTGACATTATGTTTTTAAATCGTCCTGCAGCTGCCTTTACCAATTTTGTGGATTCATGAGATTTTTACCTTGTTTCTTCTTGAAATAAATTTTTTTTTTTTACTGGGTATTTTAAAAAAAAGTCAAAGTTGAGATAACATAACTTAGTCTCTAGAGTTTAGGTACATTCATTTATTCTTTTATATATGCAGTCTAATGCAGTTTATCAGCCTGATTGACTTTTGGCAAAACTGTCTATAAGTCCTCAACTTTATTGAAGCAACTTCCCATACTAGAATAATATTTGTGACATCGTGGTGAAATCAGGCGCTTGTCTAAAGGTCTGAATAGAATAGAATGTTTTAGCGACGGGGAACTATCTATGAAGACTTTCACACTGTACCCCTTCAAAACGTTGTGAGCTCAAAAACTTGGTAGGCCTACTGGATTTGAACCATGAGATGTAGATCTAGACCTTATGTTGCTCGACTGTCACCTGGTCATTTGAACCCATATTGTATGGGAGAATCTGTCCTGTAATGTGTTATCTGACTTGACTGACTTTTAGAATGGCGATAATTGTCTTTCAAAATGAGTGGGTGGTTGGCGGGTGCTCTGGTGTGGTTTGCTTCTTCTTTCCTATGAAACATCTATCGTCCTTATCTCCCCTTCTTCTTTTTTATGTTTTGTTACTTTCTTGTAACTCCTCTAATCTTCTGGCGCTCATATGACCTTATGCAGTTGCGAACGCCGTAAAACCTCTACTAAAACTATCTCATAATGAAATAATTTAGCTTTGTTGCATAATAACAGCTTGTTGATAAAGGGCACTTAATTTAGGTTGCAGCTACACCCATTTTGTCGAATTAATTTATTGTTGTATTGTTTCGTATGGCTGTGTAATCTTTCTTCTTTTTACTGTTCTACTAAAATGCCAGTCTCTATTTCACTGTTCTGGAAATTGTATTGCTTAATTCTTAGTTTTTATTGTTTTCCTAAAGGAAATATTCTTTGCAGATGCATTGGTCCTCTTCAGACACTGGCAAATGAACTATTATTATTATTATTATCATCATTATTATAATTATTATTATTATTATTTATTATTGTTATTATTATTATTATTATCATAATTATTATAATATTGTTATTATTTTTATTAGGCCTATTTTTTTTCTAATGTTATTATTATTATTAAATGGCTATAACGTTCTCACTGATGTCTGTTTAAAATGTTCCTGTTGTTGTTTAAGAAACTACCAGACATTGTATAGTAGAGTTAATTATGAGAGAGAGCTTCAACGCAATTTTGTGTGAAGGAAGTTTGTTGTCCATAGCCACCGGGGAGTGGCCGCTATAGAAGTGATCTTTACTGTTATTGTTATTGTTATTATTATTATTGTTGTTATTATTATTATTATTATTTTTATTATTGTTATCGTTATTATTATTGTTGTTATCATTAGGCCTATTATTATTATTTTATTATAATAATAATAATAATAATAATAATAATAATTATTATTATTATTATTATTATTATTGTTGTTGTTATTATTATTATTATTATTATTATTATTATTATTATTATTTTGTATACATATGGTTTGTAGGCTTTGATTTTTGTTTTGTTCTCTACTACTAAGTTGTTTTTTGTAAAGGTTATACTTATTGTGTTAGAGATTAAACTCCAACTGTGGTAACGAAATAATAACAGAAGTAAATGTTTACAATTTCTGCAATTTCAATGTAAGTATATTATCTTTAAGCAAAAAATGGC